ACTTTGTCTATTTGCGTCTGTAGATTTCTCCTAAATTCAACAAAAGTTGTCGCTCTAAATCAACATGCTGCTCCGCGATCGCTGCATGTCATCACATACATCTCCATTGGAAAGCTTTCTCTCTCCTGTACATTGTTGTCGTATCCAAATATGGTCATTTCCTTTTAATCAGCAACCAATCGTGAAAGTACAATGGGCATTTAACTCTAAAACCGAAATCTCATTGGCTGATGTCAATTTCTGACAACGTGATTCGTTCAGATGCATCACGTGACCTGGGGCATGTTCAAGATCACAACGGTGCGCAACGTTTTGCTACGGTTTCCAGGTTGAACGTCATGTTTCCTGGAAACGGCGTGCACCGGTGTGCAACGGGGTTTGAGATGCGTTTTCTCTTGTTTGGTGGGCGTGTCAGAACTGCAGTCCAATCAGCAGCAACATGTATATAAAGCACACGGTATTAAAGAGAACTCGCACAATGGAAGTAATTTACAAATGTGTTCGATACGCAACAACTAAGGATATCAGAAGACATGTTTGTCATAAGTATTATTGTAAAAATATAGGATATCAACATAATGATGTAGTTGTTTATATTTTTAGCTTCATTGCAAGTGTGTGACATTTGGTATAGAAATAAACAATGCATGTAAAGTGCTTTTCCTAAAAATGAGAAAGAAAATACAGGGTATTAATAAAACATTATGAACAACAAGAATGTGAGGCTAAATAGATGTGTTTTAGTCTTTATTAGGTAAGATGTGCTTCCATTTCAGTTTCCACAAATCCCTTCACTCGATTGGGATGTTCTCTTGTGTTCTGGGCGGCAAGTGCAGTAACTGTAACATCGGGCATATTTTGTAGTATTAAACATATTTATACCGACTTCATCAGGCTCCGAAAATTCTTCACAAAGAACACAAAAAGCCTTCTCAGCTGCCGTAGTTGCAACTCTTGCGTCATCACAACAGTGCGTTCAACGCATCACCGTTTCTGTTTAAAAAACGTTCTGCAACGTTTTGTCGGCGCTGAACGCAGCCGTGCTCTGACATTTAGATATGCGTTTTTGACTGTTTTTCTGTTCAGGTGAAGGCCATAAATGCTGTGATTTAGGTGGTTTGTATTGTTGTTGCTAATGATTTGATAAGATATTGTGTCTGTAAATAGTTGTTTCCACTAAAAAAAGTATGAATTTTTACATTACAAATCTTTAAAAGCCGTTTTCTCAAAATTAGTTTTTTTTTGTCATTCTCCAGTACAATCTCAGCCTGTGTAGCACCTATGTACACCAAACTTTCCAGTTATACACTTAGCAGTATTCTGAAGATATTTTCAGAGGGATTTGTCATTCCTAAAAACCTTTGTAGTGTGTAAGCAAGGGCATGATTGAAACAATAACTAGCTACTGTAGTTTAAAAGTGTTTTTCTGTTTGTTTTGTTAAAGCAATTCACATATAGGGATTCCCATGTACCATCTACCCCTGCCACCCTGCCAAGACCTCTTGCCACCCCTTTGCCCCCCCATGTAAAATCTTCTAGATCCGCCACTGCACACATGCACCACTTTACCCCAGTTGACTATCCATTAGGTGAGTCCTTTCGACACTGGCCCTGTTAGTTGTAGATACGCTATCACATTGATTGACTACCATTCAAAATGGCCAGAGGTAGCTTTTGCACCTCACGTGACTGCATCTACCATTAATTGTTTTCTGAGGTCAGTGTTCAGCCAGAAAGGGAATCCTCTGGAGGTTGTTAGTGATAATGGACCTCAGTTCCGGTCAACGGAGTTCAAACTATTCCTACAAGAAAGAGATGTAAAGCACATCCGTACTTCTATATATCACCCGGAAGGAAATGGAGCTGTGGAGCGCTGGAATAAGGTGTTGAAGGAGGCTATTCTGACTGCAGAAAGGGAGAGAGCCCCTTGGACATCGTTCATTGCGGATTTTCTGCAAACTTACCGAGCTACACCCCATGCCACGACAGGCATTTCTCCTTTTGAGCTGATGTTTAGAAGAAAAATGAGAACAAAATTGACAATTCTTCCAAAGTGCAATGTGAATCCGGCTATAAAAAAGCTGAAAACAAAAGTGATGCGAAATCAGAGGAAAATGAAAGCATACCTGGATACAAAGCGCAAAGCAAAGACTCCAGGGCTCAAGGAAGGCGACTTCGTACGGGTGAGAAAACCTGTGCTTGTGAGAAAAGGGAAATCAAAATTCAGCAACCCTATGCAGATTGTTAGAAGGAAGGGGACACATAGTTTTGAACTGAGTGATGGACGTACTTGGGACGTATCTCATTTGGCACCACTGCCCCCAGAATTTACTCAGGTTCCTGAACACACTGAGTCAACTCCTACTGCACCACCTGGAAGTGGTAACAATCACTTGGAAGGACGTTGTAGAAGGAAGCCAGTATGGTTGAAAGACTATGTAACCTAAACTGTCATAGTAGGCAAAGTAGAAAGTACTGGGAGGGGAAGAAAAAAAGAAAACCCAGAAGTTTAGTTCAGGAAAGTTGTGGTTTGAACTGAAAGGATGTTCATGCTATATTTGTTTGTTAAGAGATATTGTTAGACATTGTTCTGTGTTTCTAATATAAGTAAAGAAATTGGGTAAGAAAACAAAACGAATGAATATATTGTTAGCAATGTTATCGTAACTGTAGATGGAAACAAATTAAGTCAGGGGGAAATGTTGTGTTCTCGTGTTACGTTGCCATTTGTTAAATGTCCGCTAGATGGAGATATTGGGCTAGATATGGAGATAGGAGGTTGGAGAGGAGGAGGTTGAAAAATGGAGAATGGAAAGTAAAGAGATCTGTTCGTTACTCTGTGTTCTCTCGTTTATTTTCATGTGATTACATAACACTTTCATGACATCAAGGCTAGATTATTGTAATGCTCTACTGGGTGGTTGCCCTGCACGCTTAATAAAGAAACTACAGCTAGTTCAAAACGCAGCAGCTCGAGTTCTTACTAGAACCAGGAAATATGACCATATTAGCCCGGTTCTGTCAACACTGCATTGGCTGCCTATTAAACATCGTATAAATTTCAAAATATTGTTGATTACTTACAAAGCACTAAATGGTTTAGCTCCGCAGTACTTGAGCGAGCTCTTAACGGATTATAGTCCGTCACGTCTATTGCGATCTTAAAATGCAGGCCAGTTGATAATACCTAGAATATCAAAATCGACTGCTGGTGGTAGATCCTTTTCCTATTTAGCACCAAAACTTTGGAACAGTCTTCCTACCATTGTCCGGGAAGCAGACACACTCTGTAAGTTCAAAGCTAGACTAAAAACACATCTCTTTGAACTAGCATACACATATACATTATAGACCTCTATAATTCAATGTTAAGCTGCTTAGATTAGGTCAGCCGGAACTGGGAACACTTCCCTTAAATCCTGATGTACTCGCTACATCAAAAGAAGAATGGCATCTACTCTAATTTTAGTGTCTTTGTTTATCCCGAGGTTTTCCCGCAGCCTGCCGGATCCAGCCCGTATCCAGATCGGACTAGGACCTTCGCCTGGACCCGATGACAACGCAGTGCTGAAGTGCCAACTAGCCTCTCCCTATGGAGGATCCTTTTCCCACTCTACAGATAAAGCGTTGTGATTCCGGTTCGCGTACCAACCCCGAAGTGATAAAATAAAACACAATTCTGTATTAATTATAGGCAAGAGAAGTAGTTTGTTTAGGCATGGTTTGTAAGGAATTACAAACCTGCGCACATATATTCAAACGCACATAACTATAGAATAAATTCTTAATGCGCATGTGAACGCCACCAGCATTCATCACAGGTTCACGTTTAAAGTCTGTTTAGAGAGAACGGCGTCGTCTTTGCTGCCCCTAATTTAATAACAAATGATCATTTCAACAGAAGTAATCAATCAAAACAAACTTTAGCTGGAAATAACATTATTCGAGAATCGCTATAAAGCCAAAACAATCTCTGTTACCTTAAATTATGTTTGTCCCTGTAAAGCTGCTTTGAAACAATCCATTGTTAAAAGCGCTATATAAATAAGGATGGCTTGACTTGACTTGACTTGACTCTTAGGGTACATTTACATGACAACGAAACGGTTAAAACGGAGAAGTTTAAATCCCCATTTACACGGATCCGGAAAAAAGGACTAAAAACGCTGTATTCTGCTGCCAGGCCATTAGGAGGTGATGAAACACTAGACTGAACATGTAATACGCATGTGCATGACGTCATCGTCTTCAAAAATTCGCGTTTTGTTCTTTACCCGAAGACAGTTTACAAAAACTTGCACTTTGAAACCCATTTTCCAAACTTTGCGTTTTCAGGCACCCAAAATGGCGTTGTCGTTTAAATGAACGGCCAAAAGCATTTTACGTTTTTAGTTGGTGTCTGGGTGCCTGAAAACGCAAACTTTTGAAAATGGGTTTCAAAGTGCAACGGTCTCAGTGTAAACAACAAAAATGCGAATCTCTGAAGACGATGACGTCATACATGCGTATTACGTGTTCAGTCTATAGTGTTTCATCGCCATCTAATGGCCTGGCAGCAGAATACAGCGTTTTTATTATTTTTCTTTTCGCAGATCCGTGTGAATTGGGATCGTTTTGACAATGGTGTCTGTACGCCAAAAACTCAAAGGAAAGACAGTTTTTAGCATATCGTTGTCGTGTAAACGTACCCTTAGTCTCTCTCTGGCTCACTCTCTCTCTTATAATACTGTAGGCTACTTATGACTCCCCTGAAGCAGCAAGAGACTTTCTAGTTTCTAGTTCTAAAGTGACGATTTTGAATTATGAAGGTTTGGGTGTATCAGTCTTTGTTTTTCCTTATTTATTTACATACTCTTGTCAAACTGTTGTATAAAAGCACAATCCCAGTCTTGCAATACATTATGCATGCAGACGCCACTTTAGACAAAGATAAAATGTTCAGTGAGACAAGTGATGCAAAGTCATATTATTGAACTAAGTCCAGTAAGCCAGAACCGCCATTGCGTTGATCAATATTTTATTAAGACATTTCCATTACAGAGGATTTGTTAATGGCATCATCTATAATTCTTTTATATATACAATCTCAGGTGAAACCCTATTACATTTTGGTGTGTCACTCTCATTAAGTAATATAAAAGAAAACGAGATGATGCCACAATGTTGCTAACATGGAAGATAATGTGAATTAAAAACCATTGTCAATCTTGTTGTGTTGAGTTAATACATCACTAAATTATGACACATGATCAATTAATGTGTTTTTGATGTCAGCTTCAGCAGTCTTTGAATGTCTGGTTCAATATTGACAGTCTGAAACTTTCTACTGTATCTCTTGAAGGGTTCACCCTCTGGCCCAATTAGAAACTTTTCAAAATTCCATGAAATATCATTCCGACTGATGGGATTCCAGACCAGATATTTGGGGTCCTGCATAAGTGACATAGGATCATCATCTGGATAAGGAAGCTTGTCTTTCAAGTAGGAAAAAACAGGATGTGTATCACTCCCATTTACAACACACTTTTCAAAAATGGTGAACGCAGGCTTATACCCTTCACCGGGACGTACATACTTCAAGGAATTTAGAATTTCTGCATCAGAGCAGTTCTCCTGGAAAATAACAAAATGGAAAAAGTAGGGAGAATTCAGTGATTACAATAAAAATAAAATGATGTACAATATTCCTACAAAGTTCTTCATCAATACTAATAACAGCAGGAATAGTTACATTTACCATTTATATGACACTGAGGCTGAGCCCACAAGTAAAATACTTATGTAGAACTAAGTGTAACTAAAATCGTGAATAAAAGGTGAGTTGCACTTCCTCATTTACAAACCTGGTATCCAAACTGGTTGCAGGGAAAGCCCAGGACCACAAGTCGGTGAGGATATCTGCTCTGGAGCTCATTAAGCTGGATATAGTCCTGGGTGGTCGTCCCTCAGAGTGATGCCACATTTTCTATTAGTACCACTCGTCCTCTGAAAATATTGAAATCAATTGTTTCTCCTTCCAGCGTAGATGCATGTAGATCATAAAACGTCTTAGCTATAAATGTCATGTTCAGTCTTGCTCTCCTCTTCACAATGACATAAGCAGTGTCTTTTTCTACAATAATGTCGACAAAACAGGTCATGTGATGTCATGTATAATGCATGCCAGGTGTCTTTCACAGATATGTGATAGTCAACCTTTTGTAAAGATAACAGTCTTAAAATATGGAATTAAAGACCGGTGCAATGAAGCAAACAATGTAGTTTTGAATCCTGAACTTTTTGCCTGAACTATTAAATTTAGCTAGAATACTACAAAGTATTCATAAAACATTGAAATGTAAGGCCTGCTACAGATAAAATAAAACTCCATTGAGCTCTGTGGAAATTTGTAGCAACCGTATCAGTTTCTGGGCCATATTTTATTAATGATGTCTCGGTCTCCATTTCTTTGAACGTTATAAAAAATGGATGACTGCACAGGTTAATCTTCTTTAGATTGCCTAGATCGTTCATGCAGTGTAGTGAAAAAGAAGTCACTTAATTGCTCCTGTTAACGTTTTTTTTTATTTAGTACCATTAATTTCTTTGGAAATAGGTCAAAGCGTGGTGCAAATATGTATGCAGGGTTTCAGTTTCATGACCTTTTGTAGAAATCGTCCTTTGAAACTCTTTGAGATCTCGTCAATTCTGTTGACTTTCTGCACATAACATTTCATCTGACTAAATTAGATCATAACGTGAATCTCTATGATCTCTTGTTGACGGTACTTTGTTATTTATTGTGTGACAGTGAATTTGATGAGGTAAAGGGTTGATCCTTGCTCTTGCAATGATTCCTATTGATTAATTTTATGATTGTGGGGTTTAATGGAATGTCTGTCTTTATGAATAAGAGAAAGGAATATCGCAATTTCAAGGTTTTATGAAATGTTGTTGTCAATCAGTTTGGTAAAATATCAGTTTGTTGTATTTGTGCTGGTCAGACAAAGTCAGGGCTTTGAAACAATTCAATAAACAGCTATTTTTTATAATCATCACTTTATCTCCTGCTTTCTGTTCTTCCTGGCTTCCTCTGTCAACCTATCAGTTGATAGAAGACTTTTAAGTTAACTTGCTGTGACTTGCTGTTAACTGGTTTTGGGTATCAGACAAAACTCTGCCAAATGGTTTTGTCATAGACTTCTTCTGATGGGATCTGGTAAAAAGAATGGATCATCCAATCTTCCTGGAGATTCAGACTAACAATGATGTACCCTCCAGGGGCCCCAATTAACTGTTTTCCATTGTTGGAGTGCTCTGGCAGTGCACGTCACCTTTATTTTTATAGTGCTTTTTACAATACAGTTTGTTTAAAAGCAGCTTTACAGTGATAACAGGAAAATAATGCAACAAAGTTTGTTTCTGCTGTACAGCAGATTTAGAAGAAAATAGCGTCATAGTCCAGCTTAAGTAAGTTAAGTGATGGTTCATTTTTGTTGTAAAAAAGTTATTAATTTAGTTCATTTATATATATAGCCGCTCTGGAGAAAACAGTGATGTCATCATCCAGCTCAGTTCATTTCTCATATAATGGTGTCAATGCATGCAGATCAATAATGTTGTTGAATATTAATGTTAATGTGTGCAGGTCTTTACTATGTGCTAATTCTACCACAGGGATGAACTCTGAACTCTTGCACAAGTCTCTTTACTTTGTGTGGACATTATTATTGCTTTAGAATTAGCATCATCCAGCTTGAAGGACCATATTAAAGATTGTAGCATTTCAATGACAATGTTAAGGTACTTAGGTATTATTAGCAATCACCAATGTTCGATTCGAAAAAATTATGTTCAATTGGTGAGGAAATATATATGCACAGACCACTCATAGACCACTCTTTATAATAAAAACTTTTCTTATAAAAAGAACAAGTCTTAAAAACTCTTATAAAAAGAACAAGTCTTCACAAACTTGATAGATGCAAGTAGAGTATTTTAAAGGTGTGTAGGTGTGGTTTTAGATGAAAGAAACAATGCTATATAAAATATACACGCACCTAAAGGATTATTAGGAACACCTGTTCAATGTCTCATTAATGCAATTATCTAATCAACCAATCACATGGCAGTTGCTTCAATGCATTTAGGGGTGTGGTCCTGGTCAAGACAATCTCCTGAACTCCAAACTGAATGTCAGAATGGGAAAGAAAGGTGATTTAAGCAATTTTGAGCGTGGCATGGTTGTTGGTGCCAGACGGGCCGGTCTGAGTATTTCACAATCTGCTAAGTTACTGGGATTTTCACGCACAACCATTTCTAGGGTTTACAAAGAATGGTGTGAAAAGGGAAAGTATGCGGTAGTCCTGTGGGCGAAAATGCCTTGTTGATGCTAGAGGTCAGAGGAGAATGGGTTGACTGATTCAAGCTGATACAAGAGCAACTTTGACTGAAATAACCACTTGTTACAACCGAGGTATGCAGCAAAGCATTTGTGAAGCCACAACATGCACAACCTTGAGGCGGATGGGCTACAACAGCAGAAGACCCCACCGGGTACCACTCATCTCCACTACAAATAGAAAAAAGAGGATACAATTAGCAAGAGCTCACCAAAATTGGACAGTTGAAGACTGGAAAAATGTTGCCTGGTCTGACGAGTCTCGATTTCTGTTGAGACATTCAGATGGTAGAGTCAGAATTTGGCGTAAACAGAATGAGAACATGGATCTAGAGACCTGCGCGGGACACAATTTTCAGTCCAGCTCCCGCCCGCTCCCGCAGTGTTCAGTCCCGCTCCCGCCCGATCCCGCAAAGATTTGTCATTTTTAGTCCCGCTCCCGCCCGCATCTGTGATATTATGTCCCGCTCCCGCCCGCAAGACGGCAGACAGGATGTTCACTTTCTGTCTCACGAAAGGTCTAGGGGGAAACATGCGTGCGCACTAATTCTTGATAAAGCTTAAAGCTTGGTAGGCTAACATATTTATTGGTAAGCCTGCATATGTTCAACCATACAAAATATTAAATAGGCATCAGTAACTAACGCCAACAAAGATAAACATTAATCGGCAATAGGCTTAATTATCGTGTAGCCTAACATAAAAACAGCCTTAGGCTGTAACCAAAAACAAAAATATAAAATATATTCGATGAGGTAATATTATTATCTATCTAATATATATAATTATATATTAGATGTTCTGGTCACATTATAGGGTAGCCATGAACATTCGTAAAAGGCTAAAAAAAACTATTTGGGCTTTGAGCTCAGTGAAGGTGTTAAACTGAAAACAGCCTGTGCATACCTTTTAATAATAATAATAAAAATAAAAACTCAGCAGGTCGCTACCAGCATGTCTAAATGAAAATGATCAAAATAAAGGTAAAAGAAGCAGCTGCTGCTTAGGCTAGAGGCGCTGTTCCTCGTCCATGCTGTCTATTTTGAACTTGAAGCTTTTGAATTCGAACACGGAGCAGCGGGAAGGACGTCTCTAAAACAAGTGTGCGTGAGATTAGGCCCCGCCCTACCCCAAACGACAACATCCACAAGTTTTGGCTGCTTAAAACGTTTTTATTGCTGCCAAATAGAATATCCCTCACAACTACAAATTATGTACGCTTCTTTAATCATTTATTTTACTTTACACTCATATTTAATTTGTGGGAGTGAGGCGTAGGCTATCATCCCTCCCGCCCGCACCCGCAAGTGCACCTCCATCATCCCGCCCGCTCCCGCAATGACCTTTCAAAATTTGTCCCGCGCCGCACTGTTTTGCGCCGCGACCCGCGGGACGCGGGACGCGGGACTCCCGCGGGAGTGCAGACCTCTACATGGATCCATCATGCCTTGTTGCCACTGTGCAGGCTGGTGGTGGTGGTGTAATGGTGTGGGGGATGTTTTCTTGGCACACTTTAGGACCCTTAGTGCCAATTGGGCATCATTTAAATGCCACGGCCTACCTGAGCATTGTTTCTGACCATGTCCATTTCCATCCCTTTATGGCCACCATGTACCCATCCTCTGATGGCTACTTCCAGCAAGATAATGTACCATGTCACAAAGCTCGAATCATTTCAAATTGGTTTCTTGAACATGACAATGAGTTCACTGTACTAAAATGGCCCCCATAGTCACCAGATCTCAACCCAATAGAGCATCTTTGGGATGTGGTGGAACGGGAGCACAAATCTCCATCAACTGCAAGATGCTATCCTATCAATATGGGCCAACATTTCTAAAGAATGATTTCAGCACCTTGTTGAATCAATGCCACGTAGAATTAAGGCAGTTCTGAAGGCTAAAGGGGGTCAAACACAGTATTAGTATAGTGTTCCTAATAATCCTTTAGGTGAGTGTATGTATGCAACGTCAAGGCATAAATAAAAAAACTCTATAACTATCAATAGTCGGTAACACTTTGCAATACGGGTGCACTAATATGCATTAATTCATACTTAACTAATGCACAGATAGTCATGAGTTAATGTATGACTCATGAAGAACTAAACCATTAATTAATTATTACTGCATCAGCAACTAATAAAGAGTCTATATGATTAATAGATTAAGTAATACATGAATTGCTATTAATTAAACGTGTCATCATGTATTAATTCCTTAATAACATATCTTATTAACTAATAGTGTAAATTAATGTGTAATTACCACAATTAGTCAAAGCTATGCACTTCAAGTTCCAGTTGTCTGCTTTAATTAATCATTAGCTAATGATTTGCGAATCTATCATTATGTTATGACTTTACTTGTTGAGGCACATGACTATTAACTAATTGTTAAGTAATATGTAATTTTGGTTTTGACACTGTGGATTTCAATTTCCAGCCTTCTACAACCAGAATTCCACTGTGCCAGATGAACCGCCGCATCCAACAGTTCATGGCACAGGAGTGTGTCAGGTTAAGCTTGAACTCTAGGATTTAAAGGAAGAACACTGAGAATATGCGGCCGGGCTCTGCTATTTCATAACACTGTGTCTAGACCGGATAAAGAAACCAGAACCTGTTATAATCAGTGATACAACACTGGATGCGACACAATGCAACACGACACAACAAAACCCCGACAGTAAACTGATGCCTCACTCTATTTCTGACGTACTCCGAGCTCTTGCGCTACTTCTGTTATG